GGCAACTGTGGTGTCACTTGCTGGACCAGCACCCCAGAAGATGTGCCTCTAATTGCACAGGAACCAGGCAAAAAGTGTCAGAGTCCAGTTTTTCCCTAATCTCACTCATCCCCCAAACCCATCCTGCTGTGCTCTGCTGCTCTTCCCTGTCTGCAGTAAAAGACTTCAGAAGTGAGCATCCAGGGAGAGACACACATGAAGTCCAAGGGATCACTCAGTAGTCTACCACTGGTTCATTGTCTGTGTTGACAGTACCTAGCTGCCCTCCAGCTACTACCTAACATCCACCTGTGACACTAAGTGGATTCCTTCCTTCTGAAAGTTATACAAGAGGAAGATGCATCATGAGGCCTCACATTTGCAATTGAACTGGCCTTGTCAGGGTTATGGTAATATCATAGATCCACAGCAATGGGAAATTTCAGTACCATGTTGTAGATTCTTCTCTATCCCTTGTGTATGGCCTTTCTTATCTTCTCTCCTTCCCTTTTAAGAGGACATGAATAATAATGGAAACATTGGAGACTGATATAAGAGCTCCAATATTGGCCTTATTACCAATTAACCCTGTGACTTATCTAAATTACTTAAAGTTTCTAAGATTAGTTGTCACAACCTGTAAAATGCCCATGATAAAATGATTTATTTAATAAGTTTGCTGTGATAATACTCTGATAAGTGGTGTGCTGTGGCTTGGGGTCCACATACCTTCATCAGGATCAATAGACTGTCCTTATTTTGCCACCTGACAGTAATGTTAGCTCTTGGTGGTCTTCTTCTGAGTTCTCTCCTAGGTATCATCTCCATATCACCCATAACTCTGTTCTTCTGAGTGGATACTATGCCTAAAGACTGAAAAGTCTCCTCTTTATCTGAAACTGGACTTTTTCTGAAGGGGCACTGCAACCTCAGATGTTTATGTGAGTTCAAATTAAGCTTCTCTTGTGGCTGCAGCATAGCTCAGCTTCTCATTTGCTGATATGCTTTCCTCTCCAGCAAGTCTTTTCCAATATGTCTGTTGAAAATTCCTGTGTCAAAGTCTTTCTCATCTAAGGGAAGAAGGTTAAAAGAATCTCAAACTCTTGCTAGCTGCCAAATACATTTTTGTTGTTATTTATTTATATATGTAATTAATTATTTGAAATTCAAAATTGAGAGAGAAAGGGCAACAGGGAGAAAGATTGATTTTCCATCTGTGAGTTACTCCTCAAATGTCTGTAATGGCCAGGGCTGGCTCAGGCAGAAGCCAGGAGCTTCTTTTGGGTCTCCCACATGAGTGCAGGGGCCCAATAACTTGGTCCATCTTCTGCTGCTTTCCTAGGAGTATTAGAAGGGAGTTAGATCAGAAGTAGAGTAGCTAGGACTCAAATCAGTGTCCATATGGGATGCCTGCCCTGCAGATAGCAGACTAACCTGCTGTGTCACAGCACTGACCACTCTTGTAACTCTTTAGAGAGTAAAATAACTTATTTTAAGAGATTTTCTAGGATATGCATCACACACTCACACTCACACACACGCACACACACAGAGAGAATTATAATTCATTGTTGCATCATGAGTAGAGGGAATAAAACTATCCCAAATTCTAAATAAGAAAAAATGGCTGTTTGACATTTAAACATTATTTTATTAAAGTGTGTTCTAATTAGGTTGCTCCAGTGAAAACTGAAGCTTGTTATTTAATGATTGATTCTCTGGTATATTGTAATTTTTGTCTCTATGTGTTTGATTATTTGTGCCAAGCTAGTGAAGGTGCTGGCACTATATTCCTTGAAGGTTAGAAGTTCATTAAGATATTATTAACCTGCAGAAAGTAAATTACTATTACATCTAAGTTAGTAGTTAGACATTTCTTTCCTATAATAAAGCCTAGTTTCTTATATACATGATGAATTGCTTTTTTTGACTCTCATTGTTACTTTCATAATGCACTAAATAAAATTTTGTCAGATGCTTACTATTTGTGTGAGAATAGTATCTTTAACAGTCCTTCTGTATGACAGTGTGTTTCTAAATATTTGTTTCTCAAGGGCAGCCTAAAGTTTCATGGGAGCAATTGGAAAAGATAAGTCAATACAAAAGTTAGCCAAAAGCTACTATACTCAGTCCAAACTTTGAGTATAGTTTTGATATATTTGGTAGGGATCTCATAAAAAAATTCCATACACTGAGTAGCTTAAAAAAAGAAAGGCAGAGAGAAAAATCTAAGAAAAAAACACAGGAATTAATGTCTTAGAGTTGTGGAGCCTTGACGTCTGAGATGGAGGTATCAGCAGGGTAGGTTCCTTTGAAGGCTGGGGTGGTGAACTGGATCCACATCTCCCTGGAAGCCTTGGGCTTGCCTTCACTTTCATATGTCTTTCTCCCTATATGTGTGTCTGCATCCAGACTTTTACTTTTTACAAAGAGGCCAGTCATTCTGGTTCATAATACTCTCCTGATGGCCTTGTTTTGTCATGATTACTTCTGCAAAGTATTATTTCAAGTAAGGCCACATTCTGAGGTCCTGGTGTTGGGACTTCAAATTATGAAACTTTGGGGCCGATGCCACGGCTCAATAGGCTAATCCTCCACCTAGTGGTGCTGACACATCGGGTTCTAGTCCCAGTCGGGGTGCCAGATTCTGTCCCAGTTGCCCCTCTTCCAGGCCAGCTCTCTGCTGAGGCCCGGGAAGGCAGTGGAGGATGGCCCAAGTGCTTGGGCCCTGCACCCCATGGGAGACCAGGAGAAGCACCTGGCTCCTGCCTTCAGATCAGCACGGTGCGCCGGCCACAGTGCGCCAGCCGTGGTGGCCATTGGAGGGTGAACAAACAGCAAAAAGGAAGACCTTTCTCTCTGTCTCTCTCTCTCACTGTCCACTCTGCCTGTCAAAAAAAAAAAAAAAGAAACTTTGGGAGAACACAATTTAAGCTGTAACAGTAAGATTACTTCCTCTATACCCCTAATGATGACTTTTCCCCACAAATAACAATTTAAGGAACAGAATGTCATTAACTTACGATGCACTCTCAGATGAGAAATCTCATCTTTTTTTTTTTTAAATGGACTTCATTGTCAAACCTCACACAAAGCACATTCCAATATGATTCTGTGTATGTGGTTATGGCGAATTATATTTTGGAATAAAATGCTGTCTACGTGATGAGTTTGCAAGTTCTAGGGCATTGGTAACCAGTCCATTTTTTTAAGATTATTTATTTTAGAGGCAGAGCTACAGACACAGAGAGAGAGAGAGACAGGGAGAGAGCTCTCCCATTACCTGGCTAACTTTCCAAATTGTGGTAATGGCAGGGGCTAAGTCAAATCAAATCCAGTAGCCAGGACCTTCTTCCAAACATTTTAGTCTGCATGTTTTATTGGTAGAACTAAGGCCATTTATACTCAAGATTATTATCAGCAATTATCAACTTCTGGCATTTTCCTGTAAATATTCCTAGTTTGTTTTGGATTTTCATTATAGGTTTACCATATTTTCTACCTTCACATTCTTTGATGATGCTGCCTCTCTGTTTTTATATGTAGCACATCTTAAGTATGATTTGTAAAGCTGGATGAGCGCTGAAACATTCTTTCAATTTCTGTTGTTTTGAAAGGCCTTTATTTCACCTCCATTTGATCCGGGTTGCCCTTATTAATTATTTTAACATTAATATCTCAAAGGTCACTGTCGCCTGTTCAGATAAGAATTCTGAATATAAGCTCAAATATCAACATGGTAAGCTTTAGCATTTATTGTGTGGGAGAAATACACAGGAAAGTGAGGGCCTTATTTAAGGAAGAGAGGAGTTTAGAAGTGTGAACTGAGTCCATACCAGTCATAGACAGGCCAGGAGCCATGTGTGAGAAAGCCACAAGTCAGAGCCATGCAGAGCAAAGCCTGCAGTTAGGAGTAGCCACAGGTACCTTTAGCATATGGTCACAAAAGCAGAGGTGAGAAATGGGCAGAAAGCTGTGTGCCCAGATGTATGGGACAACAAGGGAGGGCCCAGCAGGCTCCATACCTTTTATTTGTTTCCAGATGGGTAATGGTTATGTAGTGGGTGCATACAGATAAAATCAGATGAGGGCATGAGGTCACATGAGGCCAGGGGGCATGGTTTTTCAGCTCATGAATCCAACTAATTTAATCCTATCCGCCTGCCCATACCATTCCCCCCTCAGAGATTCCAGACATTAATTTTAAGGAATCTTTAGGGCATAGAGTCATCATTTCTTCTATAGCTACTTCCTGCTCATCAGGAGCATGGGCCCTGTTTGTCCTAGGTCTGGAATTCTCTTCCTATCTCAGTTAATAAATTTGTTTCATATTCTGGAGTAGTCTCAGTCACCACCAATGGCTGCATCTTCTGCATGGTCTTCATTACTCTCAAAAGTTGTTGAGTTCTGAAACACACAAGTTTATCAATCAGCATAAGCAATTGGAGTGCCACTTAAGATAGAAAGAACATATCTCATAGATTCTCAGATAGTGGGTGGCAATAGGATACCTTTATGCAGATTATAAAACCTTTTAGCCTAAGCATAGATTATTATAATAGAAGAGTTATTAAGGATTTTTCTTGTCAATAACAGCTACCAGAGAGACTAAAAAGAAGAACCAGGTATACTGTATCTCTCCTAAGGTGCAGCAGTCTTGATGTGATGAAATCAGAAGCTTTACTTACCTTTTGTTTTTAGAAAAGGTCACAGGAATAAGAAAGCAAGTCTCTTGCATAAGATACACATGAAAATTTCCATCTCAATAAATCTTTCATGAAAAAAATTCTAAAAAGTAAATGTTAAGTACTTATTTATATTACTTAGTATATAAAAGGAAATATAAAAGTAGAGATCTAGTATTTTTAAATATCTATCAGACAAAATTAAATTCATCACACAAAATCAAAAATATTAATTTTACGCATAGGTTTCTCAATAGCTAACTAAAACAGACAAAAATATCCATCATTCCCAAAAGCTACAAACAAATAGTCTCTAAATTGGAAGGCGGAGAAATATTAACTTCAAAGAGTTCATTTTACTTATGAATTGGCAGTGCATGTCTAGCAACATTGGTGACACTGAAAGAACACAGCACAGACATGACCAATCTGTAAACATCTGACCATACTGGCACAATGTGGATCTTGCTGATCAAGTGGATATATTTTTTGTTGCAAATGTTTTGAGGAACAACGCCTAAAATTATACAAAAGTTGAAAATACAGTTTTAACAAAGTTTACATGTAAAGGGGGAACATCAAAGCTAGTAAGTCTTTTGGCTTTCTTACAAATGGTATCATTATAATTCCCAAACTGCCGGAGGACAGAGTATCTTTGTAGGAAAAATAAACTGAAAACTATGTTGCCTCTATTATTTTACACGTCGGAGTCACTTGCAGATTCTGGTCTGCTGTTATCTGGCCCATCACTTTCCTTGTCCCAGTCTTTCATAGATGCTCCCATCATGAAATCATCACGTAGGATTGTCCAACCTGGACCCTCTTCTGATTTCGCTTTAGTCTGTTTGGCTTTTGAGTTCTTCTCAGTTGAACTTTTCTCATTTGTACTTCCATCCATTCCTCTCAGAACACTGATGAAATCTTTCTTAGAAACAGTTGATATCAACTTAGCAGACTTTCTAATACAGCCCCCAGCTTCTTTACCCTTTTCTTCAACATTCTTTTGATGTTTTTGAACAGCATTAACCAATTGCACCACACCCCTCCTTGCAGTTCTCTGCAGATTTCTCTCTGCTTCTTTGTCTTTGACAACATCTGGCTTTACTCTGCACATCATTTCCCATTCCCGCCTCTTATCAAGCTGTTTTCTTCTCTCAAGTCTTTCTTGCTTTAACTTTTCTTTTTCCTTTTCCAGTTCTTTATTTTTGACTAGAATGGTGGGTTTACTTTTAGGCGTTTTCTTGTTGAGGATTTTAGCCATGGCATCTGCCCAGCCCATATTAGTTCCAGCACATGATTCTCCAGCAGACATGTCTTTTGAGTTTACCTGCAAAGACTCAAGAGGTAGAAGTTTAAACCTAATTTCACTGAGCTAGGCACGTTCAGTAATACCTGGCAGGGATCCTTCATTTAGGCAACTAATCTGAAGGGGATCATTTTATAAACAAGGTGAATGGCTTACTTGGGGATTCCTAATGCTGGAGTTTCTGTTAAAAAGCTCTTTAATTCTTTGTAACACCTTTTGTGGCTCCCCTATACAACACAAGGTGTCTGTGCCAGAGCCTTTCAAAGCTTCATACAATGGTTTGGCAAATAACTGAAAACTTGGAATAAACATTCCACAGAATCCTGCCATTCCCAGAAATGTTCATAGCTTCTTTTTAGTCTGCAGTGACCCTGTACATAGAATAACTTATCTACCTCCTATTTAGGAACCTGATCTTTTATTTGGGAAATTCTGTATCATCACTTTCCCAGATTCGGGGTTTAATGAGATGCAGAAGAAATTATCACTTAGATATCCATGTGTACCTTGTGTGTAATTCTTATTTTCCATTCACTTTATAAGACTCATCACATACATTGTTTTGTAGTCTTATACAGAAAAACTATCATTTTCAAGTCTACATTCTGTAAACTGAAGTCTCATTGTGTACATAGAATATAGTGAAGTATTTTAAATCAGATTTATGATCAGTCCTATGAATTGGAACTCGAGTTCTACTACATTCTTTTTTGTTTCCAGGCAATATAATTCTTTAGATTCCCCTTTATTGTTTGGCTATGGTCTACAGGTGGCTATGGCTTTAATGTCAGGTTCAAACTCATAACCCAGTGTGTAAATATTGAAAAGAATTTGTATTTATGGAGCAATTAGGCCCTAACTCTGATGTTATGAAAGCTGTGCTGGAAAATTCTGGCTACTTCTACGATAGGAGGGCGCATAAATACTTCTAGTAGGCAGGAAATGAGCTGTCACAGACAGAATGGGCTAGTGCCTTAATCTTGGATTTTACAACCTCTAGAATTGAGTTACAACTTTCTGTTTAAATTGCCCTCTCTAAAGTATTCTTCATCCTGAAGGGCCTAAGATATTATCTATAAAATATTTTGAAATGTCTACAAGGAGATAATGTATGCTAATTTTTATGAATCCATGAAGAACATCACAATTTCTCTTGATGTATTCTTAGGAAATTCACATTTTCAAGTATCAAGTATGTCTTCCTTAAATTCAGCTTCACTTACAAATTGATTGTTTTCCTTTTTTTTTTTTTGCTTTTTAGGATTTTTCTATATTGATTTTGGAATCATACTGTCAATATACACACACATTAAATCCTATGTAGTTTCAATTGAAGTTGTTTTGGATCTGTACATTAGTTAACTTTGGGCAAAGATTGGCATTTTAGCAATACTGAATTTTCTCATACATAAATTGGTATCTGCAACTTATTGCACTTTCACTTTCTTTGATGTATTTGCCTGTGTTTTAAGCACATATAAAGGACTTTTTTGCCACTGGTAATTGCACTGGTTTGGTTTTAAAATAAATTAATTTATAGCAATAAAATATAATTGCCTTTGAATATTAATCTTGTAACTGGCTATATTTTTAAAATAAATTTATTTGATTTATTTATAAGGTAGAGTCATAGAGAAAGGACACAGAGAGAAATATCTTCCATCTGCTATTTCAGTCCCCATATGACCTCACCATCAGGCCAGGCTGAAGCCAGGAGCCTAGAACTCCTTGTGGATCTCCTACACAGGTGATAGGAGCACAAATACTTAGGCCAAACTCTACTGCTTTCTCAGGCACATATCAGGGAGCTGTATCAAAAATACATCATCAGGGACTCAAACCAGTGCTCCAGTGTCAGTGTTTTAGACAGTGGCTTAATGCACAGCAGGCTGAGGCCAAACCCTGGCCATTTTAATGTATTCACTTTCTGCTATGTCACCTTTTTGTATATTCTTAGGGTTTTCTATAAAAACAATTTTTGAGTGCCCATTACTTCCTCAAATATTTCTTCTTCTGCTTCTTCTCTTTTGCATTTCAAATTATATGTATTTTTACCATTTAATTTTGTATCTAGTTTCTGCTATGCTGTTTTTGTTAATTTTTTTCTCACAAATTACTTTTTGAAATTCAGGTTATATAACTTCAAGCTAACTTAATAGTTTCAGGTTCACTGGCACTTTACATTGCAGTGTCAAGTCTACTGATTATTCTGTGAAAGGCATTTTTCATCTACCTTTTCTGCTTAATTCTTTGCATGTGTCTGTGAAATGACCCAGTGGATTATGCATATTATTCACGTTTTGTAAAACAGATTTTCAGCAGGTCAATTAAATTATTTCAAATGTTATGTCTCATGTTGTTTCCTAGTCTGTTCCTGTCCTTGGTTGGCATCTTGACTGTTTTTGTTTAGATTTTTTTTTGCATGTCCTATAATTTAATGTAGAAAGTGAGTTAATAGAGAGATTGAGATAAAGCATGCTGTTACTAGAATTGGTATCCCTGCCCTATGTTAAACCTTCACTTTTGAAGGTTGAATTGATCTTCTCCAAAGTAAAGTTAGTTTTTTAATTTAATTTTTCTGTGGTTACCTTCAAAACCTATAACTTAAATTCTTATATCATTATGTCATGGTAAAAGATGTGAACTGTTTTCCAGAGAAACTTTTCTCTTATGTCAACTCAACACAAGATATGTCTTCTCTTTTGAATTCTTCCTTAACATGCCCCTCTCCATTCACTTTCTTCTACTGGGAAGATATTGGTGTGGTGGTGTTTATTGTTTTATTTTTGTTTACCTGGTGGTTTGGTTTACAGGATAAAATTATTCACTGCTGCTCTGAGTAATTTTGTCTTAGGCTGACACTGAGTCCACAGGCATGTTCCTGAGGCCTTCTCATTGATCCCTACTCTGTACTGGGATAAAGCTCAGAAGTTGGCCCCTGCCTGTTTCTCCCCAATTGTAATTTTTTTTTTTCTATGCTGTTTTCCAAGAAACCATTGGAGTTTTCCCTTCTGCTTAAAACTTTAGGTTCTGTTTTACTTCCCCAAGTGTTTTCAGATTCTATTTTGTATAAGAAATATGGAACGGGGTTGAGGCCATACTTCATATTATCCACAGTTGCCATACTCCTTTACTTCAAGGATGGGGATTCTTTTCAGGATTCTCACCTCATCCCTAATGATATTTGTGAGTACCAGAAGAAGCTAATGAAGATAATATTTTTATTTGTTTTACTTATTTTAAATGCAGAGTTACAGAGAAACAGAGATAGAGATCTATCTTCTACCCACTGGCTCACTCCACAAATGGCCACAAAGGCCAGGGCTGGGCTAGGCAAAACTCACAACCCAGGAGCATCATCATGGACTCCCAAATGGGTACAGGGCCTAAGGACTTTGGCCAACTTCCACTGTATTTCCAGAAGCATTAGTAAGGAGCTAGATCAGAAGTGGAGCATCTGGGTTTTGAACCAGTGCCCATGTTGGATGCTGGTATCACAGGTGATGGCTTTACCCACTATATCACAATGCTGGTGCAAATAATACAATTTTGGAAGAATTACTTCTGTTTTTTTTTTTTTTGACAGGCAGAGTAGACAGTGAGAGACAGAGAGAAAGGTCTTCCTTTGCTGTTGGTTCACCCTCCAATGGCCGCAGGCTGCGGCCAGCGTGCAGTGGCCAGCGCACCATGCTGATCCGATGGCAGGAGCCAGGTTCTTATCCTGGTCTCCCATGGGTGCAGGGCCCAAGCACTTGGCCCGTCCTCCACTGCACTCCCTGGCCACAGCAGAGAGCTGGCCTGGAAGAGGGGCAACTGGAACAGAATCCAGTGCCCCGACCCAGACTACAACCCAGTGTGCCAGCGCCGCAAGGCAAAGGATTAGCCTATTGAGATGTGGAGCTGGCCTTTTTTTTTTTAATTTATTTATTTTATTTTTGACAGGCAGAGTGGACAGTGAGAGAGAGAGACAGAGAAAAAGGTCTTCCTTTACCATTGGTTCACCCTCCAATGGCCGCCACAGCTGGCACACTTGCTGATCTGAAGCCAGGAGTGAAGTGCTTTTCCTGGTCTCCCGTACGGGTGCAGGGCCCAAGCACTTGGGCCATCCTCCACTGCACTCCTGGGCCACAGCAGAGAGCTGGCCTGGAAAAGGGGCAACCGGTACAGAATCTGGCGCCCCGACCGGGACTAGAACCCAGTGTGCCGGTGCTGCAAGGGAAGGATTAGCCTATTGAGCCATGGCGCTGACCTCTGTTTCTGTGAGGCATTTATGACTTTATAATATCTTGACAACATGGTACTTTGTAATTTATTAAGTTTTGTAGTTGAATTATCTACACAATGCAACAAAATGCTCACCTCTC